AAAATTGTGGTTCAGGGCAAGTATATTTTACATAGTATTAATTACAGCCAAGGATATAGTTTAGAGGGAGTTGTATTACGGACAGTATTGTGGCTTTAAACTTAGAAATTAACATGTAGGAAATTACTAACCTGTGAATCTTGTTCTAATTTGTAAAAAAAATTGCTGGCATGCCTTTTAACTTTGTCAACCTTCTGGTCTTCTGTTGGTGTCATTTCCTTTGTGATGCCGCGGTTATATTTGATTTTTATTTGAAAACATTGTGTTTACTGGACTTTTGAAAAATAACTCCATACAGAAAAAAATGTTCATCGCGATTCCCAAATGTTATGCATACTTCTGAGAGTTCCTATTGGGTTATTTGGTAGAAAGCATACCAAACTGATAGAAGACTTGAATTGCAGGTGGTCACACTTGCTACTTGTCACTCTCTGGTTATGGTAACGGCGAGGGAATAATGGCATTTTTGGTTGGTCACAGTTTGCTTAGGTTCAGAATTGTAGGTGCTGTAGCTACTATACAGATTTGTTTCTGGAGTCAAATTCACAAATATGTGAAAGCACTTTGATAATTAATTATTACATGGAAAAGATTTTTAAAAACTTTGTTTTGCTTGCCTCCCTGTATACTCAGTGTGGTCCTTGTCACAGAGTAGGCAATCGATACCTGTTTACTGGCTACATATACATATGTTACATGTTTCTTGAAATGATATTTTAGAAAGACGTTTGAAAACCTTTGATTATTGCTTAAAACTGAATGGTTTGTTGCCTTAAGTAAACAAATATCTTTTAAAAATTGTTAAAACTATCATTAAGAAAATATGCCATTCTTTCTCTGCCTTCCTTCCACAAAGATAATTTTGGGCAGTGTCGATGCTTAATTGTTTGGGAGTTGAAACTTGACCTCCTCTCAACAAAAAGTGTCAAAAAACGTGGAGAAAAGGAGGATAATTTTAATGTGTGCCAGTCCTCACAATTAGTGGAGGTCTATTGTAAATGTACTTTAATGAATAAGGAAGAATCGTTACTGTGATTTAAATTACTTCTATGTAGGTGCTTCCATAACATCTGAGTTTAGGTTTGCCTCTAGGGTGAGTTGATAGTGCTCTTTGTTGACTTACAGTATCAGTGTGTCCTTCATTAGGTATGTGAAGCTACATCATTGCTCTTTCATCCATCTGCTCATTCATTTATTCTGTGTTTGTTGGGCATATCTTATGTGCCAGGCACTGTCAAATTGCTTTACTAAATAGTAATGCTATTGAATGAGGTGCAAGAAGTGAAAATGTTTTGTAAATTGTGAAGTGATATTCACATGCTGTTATCATCAAATTCTCGAATAGTTTTGAATGAAAGTACCTTTAGTGTAACTGCTTTGTGTAAATTCTAAATTGAATCTGCCAGGAATTTTGTATGACATTTTTTAAAGAATAGACAAAATTAGATTATTCAGCAATGAAATATTTAATGCAATAGGCTTAAAAGAAAAAGAAACTAAATTTTGTCTGAGCTCATTGGATAGAATGTATTTCTGGAGAAATTGGGACTGTAGGAGGAGGTGAAGTTCATGACCAGCTCATCATTTTGCAGATTAGTGTTTTTAGCAACGTGGAACACTGAGTGGGAGAGCGTAGATGACTTGGTGCAAGAGGGTTGCCACTGTAGGGAAATTAAATCAAAGAATATGGTGGATTGCTTAAGACTCATTAGTATTGTGTTTATGCACACAAGACAGCATTTATTTCTAGCCTATTGGTCGTAAGTCTGGAGTAGTATACTTTGAATGTCTTTTAAGCTATTTTCAGAGAATGTATCATTTTAGCTGAGAGTCCCAGGAGCAACTTTAAAGCTCAATATTATGATTATGGGTAGAATTTAGTAACAGTTTAAGATGCAAATGGATAAAGCCGTTTCTATAATGAGTGGGCTTTTACTGGTCCTGATGACAATTATAAATTTTGTCCTGTTGATTTAACATACGTTTCAGCACTTTAAATATATAAGCACTGATAAATATTTTTATCTAAAAAGTTAGTTTTTTGAAAGTTTCCCTTTATTTATTTTTAAATTTATTTATTTGAGAGTGGGGAGGGGCATTGGGAGAGGGAGAGAGAGAATCTCAAGCAGACTCTGTGCTGAGCACGGAGCTGATCTCAAGACCCTGAGATCAGGACCTGAGTGGAAACCAAGAGTCGACACTCAAGAGACTGTGTCACCTAGGCGCCCCGAAACAGTTTCATTTTAAAACAAAATTCATTGATTGGGGTTGATGTGGATATCTCAGTATGTTGTTTTGTATTGAAGGGGTGGTGCTAGTGGAAATAAACATGTGCCTGGTTCTCTGGTCTTGGTTCCCTCAGAAAGCAGCTATGTGACCTTGGGCAAGTGGCTTCATCCATCTAGACTCTGTTTCCTCAGCTGTAAAATGAAGGTCCTTTCCTGCTTTGAGATCCCAACAGTGAAATGTTGGCTTAAAAAAATGGAATGAATTTTGAAAATACTTTTTTTTAGTGTTCTTTATAGATGTGTTGTAATGCAGATTATTTTAATAGAAAGGGATATATTTTATATATGTTTATTGGATTTGTATTATTTTTTGGTTATTACTAAATGTTGATCCCTGAGCTGTTCCATTTCCAATCTCAAGAATATTAAGATAGGAATTTTTTTTAATCCAAACTATATAACTTTACAGTCAGAAACCAAGAAGGGCTTGAATGAGATGAGGCCCCTTGCTACGGGTGCCACCAAAGAGAAGGACGACTTGCAGCTCTTCTAAAGTCATTGGTTTGCACTTGGGCTCCCAGTATTTAATGTCCTTATAATTATTTATGTAGCATAAGGAGCTAACCCTTTTAGTTACCTAGTTCTGTATTATGGAGCCAGTTTTCAGGAAGTTATGTAAATCAAATTAAAATAATGTTTGGATTCTTTACTGAAGGTTTTTTGTTTTTGTTTTTTTTTGCCCATTTTTAGTGGTGAAATGAGTCCTGCCTTGAGTTATGTGGCCATTTCACCAAGGCCTGATATCAGTACCTATTGCTAAAGAAAAAAAAAAGAGCCCTGTGGGTTCAGTAAGTTGAGGATTTGCTGAGATAAAAAAGGTTATACATATTTTGTATCTTTAATAGGTTAATAGTGATGTTTTAAGGGAAAGACATGGTTTGTAGAATTTTTCCAAACTTATTTGACCAAAGAATTTTTTTTCTTTTTTCATCTTTTTTTTTCCCCCCCTGGAATTTCTCTTGGTATTCTTTCAAACATATTTTGGGAAAATACATCCGGATTCTAGTATCCCTTTAGAGACTGTGCAGTAGCAGACCCCATTGCTTCTGAGGTCAGTATTGGCCTTACCTGTAGGTGCTGAGGGCCCGTGTAGGGATGGTTTTCTGTTCAGTCACACAAACTTTGTCAGGCTTTCTTAAGACAATGTTAGTCTTGATTCCTCACTGCTAAATCATTAGGCTTTCTACTTAATTTGCATTGGAAAATGAGCCATAATTCAGCTCCAATAATAGCTGGGGAGTCTAACCTTGAACTTGCTGCTATGCACTATTTATCAAAACCCAGTTTGAGAAAATAGTATAGTTACATAGTCCATCCGTCCATTTTTCTGGTTATCTAAAATTTATGCCTGTGTTTTTGGACCATATAATGCCAGTGCACCCTGGACTACATGTTTTAGTCCCTTTCTGTGGAAATATTTTTAACTCTGTTTTATCTTGGCATTTTCCTTTTTAGGTTGAGAGGGACAATGGGAAATAGCCCTGTAAAACTCGTTAGTGTATATATAAGGATATTTTTGAGGACTTTGTTTATTACACTACAAGGTATCTTACAAAGACCCATGGGAAAAATTTCAGATTTTTATTCCAGGAAAAATTGTATTCCTTCTGAAGCAACTTCTTTTTTTCTTTTAGAAAATATTTATGGATACTGTAAATATTGAAACCAATTGCATTTCCTTATTTGCACTGCTTCCTGAAAGCTTTCCTGCTAAATTTGTGGCCCATCTTTTGCGAATATGTAGACTTTTACTCTGGCTTCTTTTTATCTTAAAGCAGTATAGTTTTGGAGTTAGAACTGCAGGCTCTGGAGTCAGATGGCCTGGTTCAGATGTGGGCTCCATCATTTAGTAGTTGTGTTGAAATCAGGCATGCTGCTTAATCTCTGTGAGCCTCAGTTTACTCATCTGTGAAATGAAGTTAATGGTACCCTCCTGGGTTTACTGTGAGGATTACCTGAGAATAATAGTTGTAAGCACTTGTTCTGGACACATGTTTGATACCCCATATTTTTTTCCACTTTCATATTCCTTTTGTTTCACTTCGTGTATTTTAAAAAATCATTGACTTTGTATTATTTATACTATTTTATTTATTGTAATCTAAAAATTCATTGTCATCTAATTCATTGATTGTCTAAAATACTTCTTGGAGCCGGGCAGAGTAAACATCCATAAGTGCTGGTTTCTTAGCACATTGTGTTTTCCATAAAATACAGCTATTAAAAACATTCACAATTGCTTTGCCATAAATATTCCTAAATGCACAGAGATTTTGGAACTAGACATACATGAAAGTTTACTTTTAGTTCACCTAACTTTCATTCTCTTCCCTTTTCACCTCTGACACAGCACCGAACAGATTTTCTGTATTATTTGTATAGGTGTGACAGGGGTTTTCTTAAGACATTTTTTGTTACAGCCTCTTAGGTTAAAAGTTTCACTATCATTTGAAAGCTGTCACAAGACCAGGGAAGCCCGTTCATTATAGAACTGTTTAATAAATAAGTTCCCCAGTTTGAGGAGTTAGAGTTTTATGTGAGGTCAGGCCAGTTGAAGACATTTACAAAGAATTAGTTGTTTGTTATTGCTATGTGAGTTGCAAGAATGGAAAAAAAAGAAATTCTTTCTTCAATACTTCCTTCCAGGCTGAGTCATCACTAGAGAGTGGGAAGGGCAGCAGCAGCAGAGAATCCAAACCCCAAAGCTGATACCACAAAGTAGCATTTCTCCACGTTGGGGGCTCAGAGGGGAGCCATCATGAGCGATGTTACCGTGGTGAAAGAAGGCTGGGTTCAGAAGAGGGGTAAGTACTCACCAAAGCCGAAAGTCGCATGCGTGGTAAGTGTGCTCGTGGTCAGCGATGTCCTGGAAGTTGACATTTGTTCCGAAGCTGTTACAGAGTCAACGGACAGACCATGTCCAGTGAGAGAGAAATGATATCTAACTTATGTGTTAGGAATTTGCTTCTTATTTAGGGATTCTTCGTAATTCTTGATTTTGATAGTTTATCATCACCGTTACGAAGACTTGGCCTCCTGGTATGTTGTGTGCTTGCATGTTACAGAAAGTTCGTGTTGTATTTTTCCGTGTCCACAGAGTCTACAATTCACAGAGATGTCTTTCGGATATTTGATATCTAGACAAGTTTATAACTTGTCTGCATTTAAAGACATGTAAATTTATATTAAGCCAGTTTGGGTGGTAGCAGGGGAGGGGTTAAGGCTTAAAGGGAAAGAGTTCACCCACAATCTCATGGCTTCAGCAGTCCTGTAAGTTAGTTAAGGAGAGTCTGAAAGTAAAAGACCACATGAAGAAAGGGTTTTTGTGTTGTGTGTGTGTGTGTATGTTTCATATTTTTATTTTTCATGATCTAGCTTTGGTATTTCTTGTTCACTTGTTCACTCCTACTATAGATAAATAATTCAAATGCATTATTATTTTTTTAATACTAAAGGAAGAACTCTTCAATGTAAAGTTTAGTTTATCCTCTATGAGATCACCTGCTAATGTGGTTAATATGTTTATTAAGAAATCTGGAGTGTAGACTAGTTGCCAGGCAACTAGTGTTTATCCACGTGGCCGAATTGAGTAGAATGAGGACTGTTTCATTGTCAGGACTTTTAAGTTCCTGTGTACTGTATCTATTTTCTGATTAAAAGTTGCCTTTTAAATAGTAATTTCACTGTTCCTTGTGGGTCTGTAGTTAATTCCTGTGCTTGAAAAGCTGTTGTCAGAAGTTAAATGGGATTATGTATGACTGAGTTTTAAAAAATCAGCCTTATTGAGTTACAATTTTCAGAACAATAAAATTCACGAATTTTAAGTGTACACTTTGATGAATTTTGCTACTTTCATGCAGTAGTGTAACAAGCACTGCAGTTAAGACATCTGAAACATGTCCGTCACCCAAAGAGTGCCCTCACTCTCCGATGCGGTCAGTCCTCTTTACTCAATGCTGACAACCACTGATGTGATACCACTGGAATCTTCCTTTTCTAATATGTCTTATAAGTAGAGTCATACGGCCCTTTGTGTTTGGTTACTTTCACATAGCGTAATACTTTAAGGATTCATCCGCGTTGTTGTGCATATCATTAGGTTGTTTCTTTACTGTTGAGGTGTATTCCGTAGTTTGGCCATAGCACAATTTATCTATTAACCAGCTGATGGATATTTGTAGTTTCTAGTTTCTGGCTATTGTGAATAAAACTGCTATGAGCAAGGGAGTACGTTTCTTGGTGTGATGTGTTTTCATTTTTTCTTGGGCGATAACCTAGGAATGAGATTGCTGGTCATATGGTAAGTGTGTGTTTCATGATAAAAACTGTTTCAGCCAACTATTGTACTGTTGTTTCATTTATTGTATATTCTGTTGTAAGTTTAGAGGGCTTTTTCAGATTTCATTGCTGTATGAAGGCATTTTTTCTTTATTTTTTAACTTGTTTATTACATTTATTCTACCTTTCTTACTTTCTTTGGGATGGCAAATCACTTAAACCTTTTGGAGTAATACTTTATTAAGCTCTAAAATCTGCTCTCAAAATCCTGCACCATTGCAAGGATTAAGTAAGATAATGGATGTGGATATGTTTTGAGAGTTTTAAAACCAGTGTAAACTGATGCTGTCACCAAATTTTGCCAAAGATTTAGGGTGGTTCTTGAGTTTGTTTAATTAATTGTGTCTTGTCTGAAATACCATAGAGAAGGTTGGTATATAATGCATGGGATACAGAAACAAGAAAAAATGGACAAAGGTTTCTCTGTGTTTTTCCTGCATTGGTTAATAGTACACAAAGGTATGAAATGATAAATAAAAGTCTTTTCTACCCTCTACTTCTTCAAACTGGTTTCTAGCATATAGCCATTTTAGACCTTTTCTATTTTAAATTTTTTGGTGATTATTATTTCAATTTTATGTATAATACACTAAACTTTATATTTGAGTAATCTTACATAATCGAGTATATATCTATCACCATTGTGAAAAATGAAGAATTTAACTTGTAATACCTATTCTCTTCCTTCCTTCCCTGAAGGAGGGGAGAGGGCTTCGTGGTTACACTTCCAACACTTGCACTCTTAATTCTAGAAAGTACTTAGGCATCATCTCTAAACTTGCCACTTTATGAGTTGAGAAAAATTAGTACCCCTCACAGTCTTTCCCCTGAATACCTCATGGTCCCCTCCCAGGTTGTGTCAGCTGTAACATTTATTTAATGTTGTCAAGGTTTGTCATAGTTTAACTTGTTGATTTGGAGAAGCAGTAATCAATATTGTGATAACTAAATACTCCCTGCTGCTAAGAAAGTAGTATGATGGGCATGGTGGGAGCCATGGAGAACAAATGCTGGTATTCAAGATCAGGATGCACTTTAGTTTGGCTTCTTGTCTGTTACCACTAATACCAGTTTTTCCTGGATTTTCCAGTTGCCACATTGCCCCCTTGTTAAAGAGTGTCTGCTTTCTTTATCATACCACTTGGTTATGCAGCTTTTTAATCATAGTATTTGTTGACATTCTATTGTGAACCGACTTTTTTCTGGGTATGATGCTCAGCTAGTATTATGTTATTTAATTACATTCTTGGACACGTTCTCTGCTTTCTTAGATCTTGTGTCTTTCCCCTATTTGTTTTGGATTTATTTTACAATGTTCTAGAAGTAACTTTTTTTTTTTTTAATTTCCTGGAGTACTTTTTTTCAGAAAGAATATGTGGGGGGTTGCTTGTCAACAGAGTATTAAAAAATGTGCTTTTCACTTTCACACCCAGTACATGCCTTAGGTGGGTATAGAATTCGGTTGTGCAGCAGTTTTCCTTTGGAATTTTGAAGGTTGCATTCCATTACCTTTTGGTAACCAGTTTCACTGATGAGAGGTTTAATGCTAATAGGAGTAATTTCTTTCTGGGTAACTTGTTTTTGTTCTGTGGAAGCTTGTTGTGTCCATGCCTCTTTATCCTTGACATTATGAAATTTAAGGAGGATGAGATGTAGTTCTTTTTAATTCATCCCGTAAAGCATTTGTGACCCTTTGGATACGCAGGCATGTGTCTTCAGTTCTGGGGAATCTTCTGTATTTCTTTCATTATTTCTTCCCTTCTGTGTTCTCTGTATTCTTTTACGGCTTTGACCCCTAGAGCGTCTATATCAATGTTCTGGTGTTACGATTTTTCTTTCACTTCCATGTCTGTTTACCTGCCTTGTTCGGAAGATTTCCTTGACTTTTTCTTTGAGCCCTTTACAGTTATCTGTTTCAGCTATTACTTTATATTTCTGGGAATTCTTTCTAGTTCATAGCCACCGGCTCTTATTTTACAGATATAATACAATCTTTAATCTTAGGACACTAACTAGACTTTGTTTTTAAGTTTTTTCTCCCCTCTGAGTAACTTTTTCAGTTTGTTTATTTTGGTTCTTTTTTGGTGGTGTTAGTATTCCTCAGGTATCTGGTGGTTCTGTGGGTGTGTTTATACTTGTGAATGAAAGACTGAGGTTGCTGGTCATGTCTCCTATTTGTACAATTTGTGTATTTTCCCTATGCTTAAGACAAGTTAGATTCACTGACTAAGGATTTGTGATGGCAGTTTTAACTGGACTCTTGAAAGCATTAGTTGAAATATTAGGGGAAACCAAACTTTTTTCTCTCCACCATTCTTAATTTATTCCTTTAGAGATTTTCAGTATGATTTTAAAAATAACTTTGTGTTTTAGTCAAGCAAATTTCATTAGGTAGTCTGTTGTTGTTTGGCCATATTTTGGTTCAAAGAATTTCTTCTAAAAGAGCATTATTGTTTGCTGCCTATTTACCCTGGGCAGATAGATTTTCATCGCCTGAGCTTGGGTGTCCTTGTTTGAAAATAAATATGATAACATCTGCTTTCTTTACCTTGCAGTGCCGTGGTAAGCAATACGAGATAATATGTATAGAGTATTTTTAAACTATTAATGAAAGTATTAGTAGAAAAGTTATATTAGCCCTTACTTTGCGTATCAGTCCTTTTCCTCAAACTTATATTTATAAATCAGTTCTTATTAGCTCCTGTCCAGATTGAATCTCATTTTATTTGTACTTTCAATGTAAATAAGTTGTTCTTCAGTAAATATCATCCTGGAAAAGGAAAAAAACAGACTTAAAGATAATTAATGGTACTGTGTGGGACAAATGCTTTCCTAACTTTGGTGATTGGTGATATATATCAATACTGAAACCTTTTTTTTCCTGTACTTTTCTGGAGCAATTACAAAATGTAAGTATTAATTGAGATAACACATTAACTGGTGTTAGAGATGACAGTAAAGAAAACATCATGTAGCACACATGGAATCAAGTGCCACCTGCATTTTCCTCTTTGATGGTCCTGGGACAGAACCTCACAGTTTGGTTGTACATCAGCATAGGAGATATTTGCATACATATTAAATGCCTGTTAGATGATCTCCTTCACAGACCAGCCCTGGGTATACTCTCAGTGACTGCAGATCTCTAAAGTTGATGTCAAAAGTTTCGCTCTCTTAGTTTTTTATCCCATTACAGCTAGTGTTGATATTTGCTGTGAAGAAACTTACCCCATTAATAAAGTGGGAAGTTTAGCCAGCTTAAAAGTTCTAAATTAGGGGCGCCTGGGTGGCTCAGTCATTGGGCATCTGCCTTCGGCTCGGGTCATGATCCCGGGGTCCTGGGATTGAGCCCCACATCGGGCTCCCTGCTCTGCGGGAAGCCTGCTTCTCCCTCTCCCACTCCCCCTGCTTGTGTTCCCTCTCTCACTGTGTCTCTCTGTCAAATAAATAAATACAATCTTTGGGA